TTACCGTTTTCTTGGCTGCTAATGTGTTTTGTTAATCCCCCCCCAAATTTGTTGATGATATTTCTCTAGTCTAAGCAATCCCATTTCCTTCAATCTTTCTTCATAGAACTTGCTTTCTTAATTCTTTTCACTCTTCTCTGGATTTTCCATAATAAAGCTGTCTCTTGTTGCTATTGTTGCATTGATTGAGACAAAGCAAAACGGCCACCTGACACATACATGAAGAACTGATGACTGACGGTAACTTCTGTGTGGATGCTGGCTTTTCTCTCCTATGCACAACCACTGACACCAGTAATTCATCTTCAGCTGTGATCTTTTACCACTTCAACCAGAACTACCTGCCATTTCCTATCTGCATTGTTAATAATCAGTGAGTTGAAGATTACTCAACCTGCTTTATCCTGAGCTATTTTGTTGTCCAGGTATCCTGTAGCTCATCTGCTTAGTGTGTTTGTATTTATTAAGCAGATCCTCCATTCCATCTTCCCAGTCATTTACAGTGACTAGTACAGACAGACATTCATTGACCCCTACTTAATATAAGATTCCAGTTTGGCAGTGATTCATCAATAATCATTCAGAACAACAGTATTTCAACTGTGCATCCAGTAAGTAGTGCATTTTTTTCCAGACCATGCTTCCCTAGCTGACTGATGTAAAAAGACAGTGTCAAAAAGCTTACTTCAGATACAAGGAACTATTGTTTTCTTCCCCTTGTCTCTCCCCAGCCAAGTCATTGTTTCATAACTACTTATTGTTAAAAAAAGCAACAACAACAACAACAAAAAAACACAACACACACCCCCAAAACCCAACATCATACACTGTGTTGAAGCATTTTGTGTCCTGAGCTCAACCCAAAACAGCAGGCTCCCTGAACAGACAGGTGGTATTGTCAGAGCCCTTCTAGCCTATAACACACATAAAAGTGCCTGTACCAAATAAAGCGGAACTTGCCAGCTTCCAGGTAATAGAGGTGTTCCACTGCTACATATTTACTTGTAAAAGGGGAAAAGGATCCAGCCAGTCATCAGCAAGTGACTCAGAGTATTGCTTCATCAATTTTTTTCCCCATAAGTCTGAGAGTGAAGTTTATTTAGCTCAACCTTAGGGGCACTCATCTCATCCATTGAGCATCAGCTGTAGGATGATTAGACTCTTCCAGGACTCATCTATACTCTTTTTCAGGGTTTCCTTATGTCTTGGAAAGTAATCTTTAGCTCTTCCTCATTGTTTTTGTCTCATATCCATCCACTGAATGAGAAACATGACTCCTGACAACATCTAGTACGAGCTTTTCTTCCTCTGTACTGTAAGCATGTATGTTTTCCAATTTAACTTCCCAGGCCACTTAGTTCATATTCTCTTGAAAGGTCTCTCTCTCGGAAGTTCTACTCTCTCTTTCAAATACAATCTAACCACTACTCTGGTTGCATCTCCATCAAAATATTTTACTGTTTCTCACACAATATTAGTTTGTGGACTTGTCAGCTAAAAAAAACCCAACCCAAATCAACCATACGTATGCTTCTTTCAAGTTGATATTGCACTCTTATGTTGCAGCGCTAGCCTCTCAATAACAATCTTGAGGCTTGTTTCCTCCATTCTCTTCTGACATAACAAAGGGTTAACTTCCCAACTGGAGAAATTCCAGTCTGAATGTCCTTGCTTCACAGTAGGACAGTGACAGATTCCAGGAAAAATGCAGCCAAGAAAGGAAAACACTTTGGTTAAGAAAATATATTAGGCAAACCTCAATGTCAGAAGCACAAAGACTGAAATAGCAGCAGACTGCACTGCAAAGTTAAAGCCTAGTTACTTTTATATGAATATTTTTCCTCACATAGAAACCATCATAAAAGTCCTGGGAGGTAAAAAAAGTTGGTTATTCAACACGTTAAAAATGAAAAGTCGGCCTTGCATCAATATAGTTAAAAAAAATTCTGTACTTGAGGCTACAAAGCACTATTATGCTAAGTTACAGAATCCATATTGAAACTGAAGATAAAAAGAAACCTTGTAAATGTTATAAAATCTTACAGTTAAAAGCTAGGTAATTGTCTGTCTTCAAAAATAATAATCCAGGAAAACATCTGACATGGATGTTATTCTATGTGTTAATATTATCAGTATGTTGCAACAGTCAAGACTAATGAAGTCAGAAGAGTAAATAAAAGCTATTTTGAGGACATCTTTTCTGTTGTACTGCTGAAAATTAAAAAGATTTCTTCACAGATCACTGGTTTCATGATAATTTCTTACTATACATGTTAAATAGTTCTACTGGGAAACAAAACTGCCCCATAAGTTAACAGAGCAACTCATTCCCTAATAAAAGGATACAAATTTTATACATGCATGTTTTGAACACATGAATTTCAGCATCAATTCTGTATTAAACAGAAAACACAACCTAAGCCTATACACTCACAAAAAAATGCAAAAAATATGTTTTTCCTCAGAGATAAAAATATGAAGGTCCAAGGAAAAAAACAAAACCCTGAGAACACAAGAGCTGCATTTATAGGAACACAGACATTTACAAAATGCCTTTTCTTTTTTAAAATGGTTGCCTTTTAAGCTGTGCCAACACTACAACGAATATAAAAGATCTGCCTCCCTAGCAGATTTAGGAGAACAAGCAATTACTACATTAGAGAAAATAGGCTCAGAAATTTCCATCAATTCATAATTGGCAGCAAAGTAACCCTTTATTTGCCAAACCTCACAAAGCCCTTGAGCACCAACCTCTACATATATCAGCAATGGACAAATAGAGAAGAAAAAAAAAAAGCAAAAAAAAAAACCCACCCTATTGCTTCACCCTGGGGTCAGCCCTTCACTTTGGGGAAAAAGAAACAAACAGAGCCTTGTCCCCCCCACCCCCCCGTCCCAGAAGTCTCTATCCTCCTAAGTAAGCAGGAGGCGGCTTTTATTATCAGGCTGTTTAGAGCTATAGGTCTTCTATCTGGGGCACTATATCCCATGACCACTTAAATCATGATTACACTATGGTTGTTCAAGAAGAGGCTCCTTCCCAAAGCCTATGGAAAAGCAAAAGGCTTTTCTTCCAAATGGAAGGGAGATCTCCACATTTACACACTACTACCACTCAAACAGTTTACACAGAGACAGTTGTAAGGAGCATCTATTTGCAGGCTGCTAGCAGCGAGAACTACGGATTTCTCAATCCTGCTTGAGAGCACCTACATCTGCAGTCCAAGTTTAATTACTGCCTTTACCATAGAAGGGCAGGAGCAAGTGTTGCAGCAATAGAAATCTTGTACTTATTTTGGAGCGCTACCAATGATTGGTCACCCTCATTGTGGACTGAAGGCAGTCATCATCCACCATGGGTGACAGTAATGTGTAAGCAATATATGTGAGATTTAATGGTAATTCATTTTATTGATCCCTGATGCACTACTGCATCTTTCACATCAGTGCAGACCAGTGAGTATCTACTGTATTAACAATGCAACAGAAGAGGAGAATCTGAACTGAGAGAATCCTATTTTTTTCAGTTTTCTTCCCCAACTCTATCTACTTGCTTGAGAAGATTCAAATCATCTTATCTAAGACAATAACAGAAGACTTCATGGGCAGAAGAGACGAATTACTGTAAATATCCCCAAAGCTATTTTATTATGAATTAAACTACACATGACTAAACCATATTTTGGATACTCCTAGGAAGGATTCTCTCAAGAAATCACATTAACAAATCTTATTAAAAATCAAACCTATTAGGAGAACTAAAGAACACATTATAGTGTCACCAAATACTAAAAATCAAAGAGTCTCAGTGATACCTCACTATATTTAATACCAAAGAACAGAAGTTAAAGTACTTTATTATAAAAGTGCGTCCACAGCACACAGAACATAGAGAAACAAACCTTACTCTCACAATGAGTAAGTGTACTTGTTCTGCAATACATTTGCTAGCAACTTTCAACACAAAAAGATGGTTTTTAAGTAGTCTATAGGATTACAACCATTATAAAAAGCTTGGCAATAAAAATTCCTACATCTGTTGGAACACAATTGCAACTTTTACAAGTTCATGCAAATATATAGGATTGCAGGTGTGCAAAAATAACCTGTTGAATGATCAAGGATCCTAATATTTAGTCAATAATACAGTAGTCCAGGTACCCGATATGGAAACGTGATCTACTTTGCTGCCTGTATTACAAAAGTTACAATGCTGCCAATGTTCCACATCAGTGTCAAATAAATGTATCAAGTATCAAAGTCCTGTTTCATGAAGGGCTGAGTCATTAACCTGACTGATCAACAGCAAATGTATTCCTGACCCTTCAGCCTGGTGCAGCAGAACATTCTGTGGGCCACTCCGTTCAATTTTTGAATGAGAATAAAGACCTACTGCATCATTAATACTGGCAGCATGTTTTTGCAGTGGTAAAACTAAAAGTAAGTTGCAAAGATATAACCACCCACCCAGAATTATTCATTCCAGATAAAATTCTTGACCTTACATCATGTCAGTTACTATTCCCAGATAGACATTTCAGTCCTTCTGCTACTTAAATAGCAATCTGGAAGTGAAATGGAAGGAGGGAGCAATATTTCCTTATACCACTCAGCACTATGTAGTACTCTGAAAACATGACTCTGCTTCTGAAAACACATACGTATTTTAACAAGTTTGCTTTCAAATGTTTCAAATAAACTGTAGTACTTAATCAGACACTTTCTTTAGCAATGCAACAGAGTTAGTCTAGGAAAAAGATTTTTTTTTTTTTTTTTTTTTTACTTAGACTGTGAGGTGGTCAACTTCTTTTGCATTATATACAGTTCTAATTTGTTGTAGATATTAATATTTTAATATATATTTTAAAAGCTCCCATTTATGAAGCTGTCCTTTTTCAGAAGCAGGTTAAAGCACATACAGTAACAAGAATTCAAGTTATGAAAACAAAGATTAGATTAACTCGTAGTTATAAGACGGTCATAGCAATTTATTCTCCTACCTGTTTTCCATCCAGCGTACAAAGTCTCTTCACTACACCCGAATCTAACTTAATGGCTTCTGTGATGTCAGTCAAGACCTGTTCAAATGAGTGAGCAGTCTTCTTATTCAGCAGAATTCTCACAGCTTTCCGTGGTTTTACTCCACTCCTAATAACAGTCACTAATTTGGGTTTAATGAAATCTTTACTTTCCTTCACTTCACTCTTTGTGGATGTCAAAGATGTCAAGGATCGAGTGGACCCAGTCCTTATGTTCACACACCAGTTTGGATTGACATTCTTGGTGTAATCAACTTTGCGGTATGGTTCATTGGATGCACATACATAACTTTCACCTGGAAAGAAGATGATATTTTCATAATGTAAAGGGTTTTGCAGATATTTTTTGTCAATTAAAAAAAAAAAAATCAAGTTTTTCGGGAGTGATTTTTCTATATTTCAATCTCAGGCCATTTAAAATGGAAGACTATAAATTATCAGAGCTTTCCACCCAAACAATACTCTCATAGAGGGGTTTCAGCAGATTTCAAAAGGCCTCTAGTTAAGAAATAAAATTAAGAACAATGGTAAAGGCTAATGAGGGGGTTGAAAACATTTCCCATTTCTTTTGGATCATACATTCTACTGCTGAGTCATTTTGCAAGTGCTTAAATAACTTGAGCTGACAATACATGACATTAAGAGCATTCTCTTATAGCAAGTATCCAGGTCCTTCCCTACATATTCCTCAAGTATATACTTCAAGGTGTGTACACACATACCTGTGTTTAATAATTATTTTTAAAGGAGCAAGTTTTAACAGTATAAAATTCAAGCATCTCAAGTTCCCTGCCCTGAAGGACACATTAATTTACCAGGAGTTACTGACTTTCTACCAAGAATACACTGTTGAAATACATTCACTTCGAGTTTAGTCTCAAAGTCTCATTTTGTGCCTCCAGGAATATGACAGGACATCTACACTTCCCCATTTCAATTTCTTTCCTAATTCAAAGCCTGGACTGCTGATACTTCCTGAAGTCATGAAAGGGAGGTCAGAGGACAAAAAATGTTATTGCAGGCTAGTAATACACACCTTTACATCAAATTATTTAAAGTGGTACCAGCTGTGATACAGACCTAAGGAATTTGTTACTTTTCTCCATTCCTTGACATAAAGCAAGGCTGGAGAGTAATTGTTTTTTTGTTTTGGTTTTCTGTTGTTTTTTTTTGTTTGGTTGGTTTTGTTTTTTTAGTTTGTTCGTTTGTGCCTTTTTTTTTTTTTTTTTTTTTTTTCAGAGGAGTAGGCCGATTTTCTCTTCAAACTGCTGTTTATTATTTACCACAACTCTTTCAATGTCTGACAGAAATATTCAGGATGCAGACCATGACAAAAGACATCTTTAGCTCTGGGTCATTTCTGTAATCCACATGATTGAAGTCTCACAAAATGACATCCAGAATATTTTCTCAAAGAGGTAATGTATTGCCAGAAGGATGAAAGGGAAACATACCATATTGATGGAACACACCATTCCTCCAGGTAGAAGAGCTACCCGGATCTTAAAAAGCTTGTTCTAAGATTAAAGCTACACGCTCAAGGTCACTGGTGGAACAAACCAAACTCACCTCCTTTGTGTACACAGCAAGGGGAGTAAAGAGTACACATACACCTATTGGACAGTATTGCAAAAGTTACAAAATGTATACCTGTCTTTAGATACACACTAGAAGACTTTTAAACAATACTTCTACTTTCTGAACTCTTGTTTGGAGAGCTGATTTAGCTTAGAAGCTGAATAGCTTCTTCTAAAAGCAAGATAATAAACTACTTTCAAACCCCTGAAGAATTACTGTGACCTGAAAGACTTCTTTGTGTTTCTTTTCCCACACCAGTTACACTGCTTTCTAATTTATCTTGTATTTATGCCTTCTTGAAAGTTTACTTGCTATATTTGAGAGAAAGCCGGTTATAATTAAGTCAAGTTAACAATGATTTTGTTTGAGAAAGTTTGGCAGCCAGTTCTGCCTCCACAAACATCACTGGGATTGTACTCCACTGAGGTACAAAGAAACAATTTGGTGTGAGGTTTTATGGATGCCACTGCTTTGACTGTATTTTTCCTCTTCATTCATCTCCATCATTCTTCCTCATATTCATAAACCAACTGGTGCACAAACCAGAAATCAATACAGACAAAACCAGACAACTCCTCTATCCTCCCAAAAATGAACAAAGAAAAATGAGCTGTTTTCAGCCTATAAACTCCTTGAATGTGATTTCCCCACAACTGCACGCACACTAGCACTAATCTACACGTAAAGGAAAAAAACCCCACACAACTTTGGTAGCCTTGAAGTTTATACTGCTCCAAAACTACATACTAAGCTGCCACAAGTCTTGAGGCAATCTGATTTATTCAGACCTGCTTTGAGCAAGGCACTGGACGAGATGACCTCAGAAGAGCCCTTCCAAACTAAATTATCCTATGATTCTAAATAGGTGGACAGTTCTCTTTCGCTGTTTTCAAGACCTTTCACTCATCTAAACTGTAACTGTCAAATAGCATGAGATACTCAAGTTTTGCTATAGCATCTCAGCTGCAACAGAAAGCAAAGGCTTCCCTCTACATCCTCTAATACGAGATTCAAAGTGCTATGCTTATTTTCTGTTAAGCGATGCTTATTTTCTATTAAGCCACAAAGCTGTCTATCTCTAAACGCAGTACTGACAAATAAGAAGCATTTCAAAGCACCTGGTAGTTCTAACTCATACCAATATAATTACTAATATTACAACTGCTGATCATTTTGTTATTCTCTCCTCTACAACTAGTTTACTCTGTGACGTAGAACCCTGACATGGTTTAACCCCATCTAGCAACTAAGCCCCACACAGCTGCTGGCTCCCTCCCTGCCCTGGTGGGATGGGGGAGAGAATCAGAAAGGTAAAAATAAGAAAACACATGGATTGAGCTAAAAACCAGTTCAACAGGTAAAGAAAAAGCCACACATGCAAGCAAAGCAAAATAAGGAATTAATTCACCCCTTCCCATCAACAGGCATGTGCTCAGCCATCCCCAGGACAGCCAGGCTCCATCACACGTAATGGTGACTTGGGAAGACAAAATACCATCACTTCGAACATCATCCCCCTTCCTTCTTCTTCCCCCTAATTTTATTGCTGAGCATGATGCCATATGGTATGGAATATCCCCCTTTGGTCAGTTGGGGTCAGCTGTCCCAGCTCTGTCCCCTCCCAACTCCTTGTGCACCCTCAGCCTGCTCGCTGGCAGGGCAGGGCAGTGTGAGGAGCAGAAAAGGCCTTGACTCTGTAATCCCTGCTCAACAGTAACTAAAATATCCCTGTGTTATCAACACTGTTTCCAGCACAAATCCAAAACATAGCCCCATACTTGCTACTGTGAAGAAAATTAACTCTATCCCAGCCAAAACCAGCAAATCCTTAGGACAATTTTGTTCATGATTACATGCTAAACTTTTTATGGAAACGCCTAGCAAGTGACTTTCCTTTTGTGCATATGTATTATTTAAGAATGCTATTTATTATTTCCTCCTACAAAAAATGAGCAGAAGGCAATTTAGTCATTATTCTGGGTGCATAATATTAGGCATTCAACTTTGGGAAGTCCCTGACCACTTGCTCTGAAGTTTATTGAACAGTATAAGACTTCAGTAATGTTTAATAATCCTGTCATAATAAGAATGCACTTCCTAGACCATTAAAATAATAAAACAACCAACCAATAATACACACAAGACAATTCAAAGTTAAACTTCCAGGGCTGAAGCTTGAATTAACAAAGTTTTTTTAAAAACAAAACAAAACACAACACAACGCCCTCCAAATTACAGCTATCCAGAAACAGTCTCTCCAACTTGAAATAAATTAATTGGTTTACATAAAGAAGTACAGGTAGAGAACAAAAGGTCCCTTTGGTAGATGATTTCCCATAAAAGAGTCTCAATATGGTATGCTAGCTTTGTCTTTTACACACACATATCATAACAGAATTACCTTTATACTATCATGGAATTTGATCTACTATCTGTCAGAGCTGTACTACAACACCCTTTAGGACTGCAGAAATTGTCCCACTACAAAAGTTTCAGTCAGTATTAATCCAAAAGAATGATGCATGAATAAAGTAATTTCTTGAGTATCTGAATAGGTTGCAATACCTGTTTACTACAGATTTCTTATCCTTTAAGCAGAAATCTTAGTTTTCTTTTTCTGATGAAAAAAATAGGAAGTGTTTTCAACTTAAAACAAAGTAGTATCTTAAAAGAACAAATTTCAAATAACTAGTTTCAACTGCATTTAGCCAAGCCTTAAGTTAAAGCATGAATTATTTTAGCTTTAAAAATAAAAAAATCTGGCAAAACCGATTGCAAAATTTCCTATAATTGGCAGATACAGGAATGATTAATTACTTGAGAAATGTAGTATATTACAGATTGTTTAGTGTTTTCAATTCCATGCCTGCTTTCTTATGCCGGTCATATAAACTAAACTTAGTAACACAGATTTTACATGGAAAACAGATTTTACTACTATACCTGCAAGGCAGGCACATATGTCAGGATTACAGTAAGGACTATAAGTGAGAAAACACATGCTTAGTTTATGACTTAAAAGATAAAGGATGAAGTTTTTATTCTATTGAAATTACTACTTTAACTTTTAATGATTTCACCACAGCCAGGAATTCACCCAAGTTTTTAAGTTCTGTTGAGAACCTTGCAAAATACCAAAAAAATGCTAGAAACACAATATAATTAGGAAACCAATTGCTGCTTTCTTTATAAAGAATGATTTTCTATGAATGAGTTAAATGTAGATTTGTTTAGTTTAACAGTGGTATACTTATGCAACAGAAGATGATATTTAAGGAAGCAAAAAAATGGCAGGTGTAAGTTAAATCACACCTATACAATTCACTATAGGAAACTTTCTAACAGAATGATAGGAAATGATACAGAAAAACGTGCCTAACAAAACATCACCCCTTGATAAGCAGGCATTAACTTTTGAACATTTTGCTATTGTTTCAATTGTTATTTTAGCCATCTTCTGACATAGAAAACGCATTTTTATATGTCTGTTTGGAAGAAACATCAGGTTATTTGTAAGAGTATTATCTCTCACATCGTATTTTGTAGGAAAAAACCTGGAAGTGTAATATTATACATAATATTTGCTCACAGCTTTAGCATATGATCTGATTTTAAAACTGCTTGGGATTAAAGTATAATGAATCTCCACACTCTCACCAAAAAACAATATTTGTATAATGTAACATACAGCACTTCATTTTGGGGGGGTTTAAACCAG